AATGGATGGGTGGGGAAATGTATGTATGGATGTATGGATGGATGGATAGATGGATGGATGCATGGGTGGGTGGATGGATGGGTGGGTGGATTGAGCAGTGGGTATCTGGGGGATGGGTAGGTGGGTGAGTCCATGGAGTGGAGGTGTTGGGGTTGGATACCACTGCAGACAGTGTCTTTCCCAGTTGACTTTTAATGTTGCTTTTGAAGGACATGACTTGGTGAGGGCAGGGCTTCCTCCTTAGTGTGGTCACTCCTAGGGGCATTTCAATTGTTATCTCATCATCAAGGTGGCAAGTTACAAATGAGAAACTAAGGCCCTAAGGGGCAGTGCCAGGCCCAGGGCCACCCAGCCTCAGGGTGCCACATTCTCCATTCTCAGCTGTGAACAGCCTTCAGAGCACAGCCTGGCCCAGGCTCTCTGCCTGGCGTCTCATGGCACCCAGGCCTCACTCAGGGGTCCACAGGGCAGGCCTCCTTCTTGGTGATGCTGAAGTTCCCTCTCTGAACTTGCATGTGGACATCTGGTGGGGTGGACTCCATGACATGGGCACTAGCCAGCACCTCAGACACTGTCTGTAGCTGATTATCTGGGCTGAGGTGCCCAGCCTCAAGAGTTGGCCCGGGGCCTCCTAGGGACAAGTGGCCTGGAGGATCCACCATGGGGGTGGGGGAGGCCAGTGTCTGTGCTGGAAGCTGTTTCCTGGGTTGCCCCTACTGACAGTGAACATCAAGGTCAGGGACTCTGTAGCCCAGCTTGACAGGGCTGGAGTCCTTACCTACCCACTCTGGGTGTCCCTCTGTCTTCCCCCAGGACATCAGCACTACCACCTCATTCAGAAGATCCTGGGTGCTTCCAGTGATGGCTCTCTCCTCTCTTTTGAACTATTTCTTCTTCCATTTGGACTTTGGCCCCTTCCCAGGCCTGAGGAAGCCAGGAAGACCCTTCCTTGGGTGTGGGTCAGGCTCTGTGTCCCCATCCTCTGCTCTTCCCTCCGGGCTCTTCCCTTGGTACTTAGGCGCCTAGACCCTCCTCCTGGACTGAGCACACCCTGGGCCTCAGGCAATGTGGGTGGAGCAGGTCTTAGGACTGGCTCCTGTAGAAGATCATTTAGGAAAAAGGGATTTTTCCACGTATCTATAACCTGGATAAGGACCCAAAGAAGAACAGAACTCCTCTGCCCTTCTGGTGTCTTCCAAAGCTGTCCTCTTCTGCCCCTCACAGCCCACCCTGGTGCAGCCCAGACTCTCCCCACCCAGGCCTCACCCAGCTCTCAGGAGGCCCTGTTCTGCTCCTTCAAGAGGTGTGTTTCTCAGAGCATAAATGTAAGTCAGAGCTCATCACCACTTTCTCTAAACTTCACCTTAAAACAAGAAACCAACTCCTAATTTTGGGCTCCCAGGACCCATAGGATGGGGTCTTGCCAGCCTCTCCTCTTTACCTCCACCTCCCCCCGCCAGGTCCCTCCTTCCTTCTGACCCAAGGCCTTCCACACCAATCTTCCTCCTGTGCAGAGCTCCACCCACATGTCACTACTTACAGTGGGAACTGTGGACAGGGACTCTGCCATGTCCCAGGGCCTAGGACAATGCGTGGCTCAGAGCAGGGCCCGATGCCAAGGAGCAGTGGTGACATTAGGACAGACCCAAGGGACACTCAAGTGTTCCCTTGGCCTGATTCCTTCTACAGGAGGTAACTCATGGCTCTCTGGTAGAAATGAATAGGAGTGTGAGACTGGGGAGGAGGGGAGGTGGGACAAGGGGGTGGGTGGGCATCCTGTGAAGGGCTGGGGCCTGAGAGGAGGAGAGAAGAGAAGGTTCCTGGGATGTGGGAGGGGCTGAGGGACCCTGAGGTGGGAATACACTGTTGCCTGGTAAGATGCTCCTGGATGGTGCCCTCGCTGGCCGAGTTCCTATTCACACCTGGAGTCTCTGGTGCTCTGGGGGAGTGAGGGCAGGTGGGGACGTTCAGTGCAGCCCTTGAGTATCCAGCCCAGGCAGGACCAGAGTAGCCCAGAAGGGCAGAACTGGAACTGGGGGCACTGGTTCCCACAACATGTGGGTGCACTTTGCGCTGGGTGAACAGGCAGGCATCCGGATGGCTGACACGTGGGTTGAGACATTTGCCAAGGGAAAGTGGTTAAATTCAACCAATGATATTGTAAAGTTAAAATGTCCAAACTCAGTGGGGGTCTTTTCTGTATTCACAATTAGAATTATTATAGAGGTAAAAATAACAGCAAACCCACTACTGCCAAAAGCTGCCTTTGCCGGGAGGGACTCTGCCCATGAAAGTTGAAAACGAGGCCGGGACAGTGGGCATTGCAGCCACGGGGTATAGGCAACACAGCAGGTGCCCGAAGAGTGAGAGAGGCCTGAACGGGGTAGGCACAGGGCCTGGCCACAAAGTGGCCTCTGGCTCCTGACCTTTGCTGGGCTTCTGGCTGCTCACTTGGGTGAGGTGCCCGCTGTGCTGTGCTGACAGCTGGGTCCATGTGACATGGCCCGATTTCCTTCCTGAGTCCCTGGGACTGCTCCTGGGCTAGCCCTTTGGGGAAGCCTGCTGAGGTCGTGTCCAGAGGGCCAATCTAAAGCCACCTCTATGCCAGCCACTCACTTGTGAAGGGAAGGCATACAAACATCCCAGGGCAGGGTCCTGCCACGCTCTCCTGGCTGGAGCTCATCTCTCTGGGTGGGGATTGAAGTAAGGGTCCTAGCTCAGAACCCCCTGATCTTGGAGTCCAGGAGTGCACTCAGTCATGGAGGTGACCCTGGGTGCATGCTGAACCCCTCTTGTCCTGTCCCCGTCTGTGGTCTGTGATGGAGGTGGTCATAGGCTCTTTCTGGGGTGGAGGGTGAGACTTGGGGAGCTGATGGCAGGGACCCAGCCTGAGCTGTGCTCTCAGGCCCATGGGCCACCGGTGCTTAGGGCCTGAGGCAGCATTTGGTTCTAATAGGTGGGGACAAAACACTGTCACTTTATTCATAAAGTAAACATTAGGGGAATGCATTCCTAGCTCTCCCGGGAGCCAAGCTGGGTGCTTCCCAGCTCAGAGTGGAACCCCGTGTCCTGGTGCTTCCAGCACCCTCTGCTGGTGGCTTTGGGAGACTCCACAGCCTACTGGGCAGAGAAGGGGGGCTGAGCTGCCTCTGCTGCCCTTTCCTTTGCGTGGCCACTCCTGTGACCTTGTGGGGCTGATGATCAGCAGGAGGAAGGCTGATCACAGAGACCTGGGATTTAGCTGAGAACCCATTCACTGTAACTCAGGACTGGCATCAAATTTATTATTATCTTTTGTTAAATATTTTATATTTTCAGAGCATATGTTCTACAAGGCGGGTGGGGCTAGATTTTCTTCCCAGTACATTTTTGTGTGTGCAGTTATGTGACAGGAGAATAAGTGACACAAACAGGTGGTACACATGTGAGAGGGGTCTCAGGCCTGGGCCCCTGCACGCAAATCATGAGTTGCTCCTCTGATTGAAAACAGCCTCTGGACTTCCATCAGGTAAACCTGAGACCCAAATCTCACAGGCAGGTGACATCAGAGGAGGAGGTCCACTGGGGACAGTCATACCTGCATTCACCATATTTTAAAGGAACAATACACAATGTGGGGGGTTCCTGCCGGGCAAGCCCCTGCTCGCTGCACGGCCGCCTGTCCTGCAAGCGTCTCATGGGGTGGGGGAGGGGTGTCAAACGTGGTGCTAACTGGGATGAGGGTCTTTCTCCTGCTAGGGGTGTGGGTAGCTAGGGAGTGTGAACTGGGCTGGGTGGGGGTGAGCTCTGGGCAGAATGGCTCCAGCCTCAAGATGGTCCTCTGCTGTTCTGTGAGAGTAGAGGCTTGACCTGCCGGACTCACTCCCCAGGGCACTGATGTCAGGTATAGATCAGGGGGCAGAAGACAGGGCCTCCCTGGGGCCACAGGGCCATCCACTGATTGCCTCCTGGTACAGAGCTATGCTGGTGGGTCCTCTGGGCCAGCCCCACAGCCTTCCTCGGTGGAACCCACAGTGTTTGCCTCTCATAAGGATGTTCACAGCTTGGATGGTGCCTTGGGTGGCAGATCTAGGTCCCAGAGGGAAGAACCAGGTGATTCTCAAATGGGGCAGCTCTAGACCATCGGGTGATTCTTCCAGTTCTGGGGTAGGCAGGTGAGGCTGGGGACTTTATCCAGAAAGAGGTGGCCACAGTGGGGTCTGTTATGACAGCGCTTGACTGGGTGTCAAAGGCAAGGATCGTCCAGATTCAGAAAAACCTTCCCTGTGCTCCCTTCAGACTGAAGTTTTAAAAAGTAAATTCTTCACAGCAGCTCAAATAGTCTCTGAAGTTCTAAGGAAGAAAACAATGTTGAATAGTACTTCTCAACACGCAGGAGAAGGCTTGCTGTAACTGGCTCGGCACTGTGGAGATGGCTACTCTGAGCTGTTTGGCCAGGCTCAGGAGAGGACACCCCCATTCCCCCCACAAATTTCTCATTTGTTGCTTTGAGGTGGAATGCATCTTTGAGCCATATGCATCTTCTCCTGAGCCTTGGAGTGGCAAGTGAAGAAAGCCATTCCCACGGGAAGAGAGGCTGCATGGAGGGGGCAGCATTTTGGGTGGGTGCTGGGAGACCACAGCTGAACCTTGATTACTATGTGATTCTCAGACCCTCATATTCCTCATCAGAAATCAGGGGTCACACCACCCACCATGCTGAGAGGAAGCATCCAAAGAGATAATTCCCACGAGAGTGCCGACCCAGGGCTGGCCCCTGGGGATGTTGAGCTAAGTGGAATCTGAATCTGAAGGGGAGAAGGGCCCCAGGGATCAGCAGGGTGGTCCTGGGCAGGCACGGTGATGGAGTTCAAGAGAGCCCTGGAGCCTGGGTTTTACTCTTCCCCAGACTGAATGAGATGAGTTCCCGGCCTGAGCCTCCAGCCTTCGGCTCGCTGGCCAGGCACGGTACCCATCAACTGTTGGAGCCCAGGGTCCAGTGGGCCTTGCCCGAAGCTGCTTTAGTAACTGCTGTCTGTGAAGAAGGGCACTTGGGCAGATGGGATGCCGTCGCTCTCCTCTGGTGGCCCTGCCAGCTCCCCGTACTCGCTGTTGTAGAACACCTGGCCCTGGGTCCCTGGGTCTGGCCTCTGCCGCCTCCCTGGGGGGTCAGGGTGTGCCATGGTCACATCCATATTCCTGCCTGGTCCTTTACAGCTGCTGAGACAGGGAAGGTGATGTCAGTAAGAAAAGAAGAGAAGAGTGATTGAAACCATGTTGGATCTTATAGGAATCACCAGACACAACCAGAGCAATAAGAAAAGCCAATGGAAGCACACACAGACTTGACTTAAATACAAAAACAAACCGATGTGACTGTTGGCAAACACCAGAGCTTTCTTTGTCCCAAGCCTGGGTGTGGGACAATGGAGAAAGCCCAACTTCATCCCCCCCAAACCTGCTTCTCTCCCAGTCTTGCCCATCTCTGTAAATGACACCAGCGCTGATTCAATGACTTAAGCACCCGGGTGTCATCCTTTCTTCCTCCCTTTCCCTCATCCCTTATATCCAGCCCACCCAGAAGTCCTGTCCTGTCTATTCCAAAATGCATCCATGCCCCTCAATCCATGCTCTTCCCCTACTTTAGAGTGAGCTGCCATCACTGCATGCTCTGGGCTGCCCTAGCACATCTCTCTTCTCCCACTCATGCCACCCTATAGGCCAGTCTTCAGAGATCCTTCAAGTTAGATGGTGTCCTTCTCCTCTTGATACACCCTTCAGTGGCTTCCCATCACCCTCAGAATAAAATTCAAGCTTCTCCCCCTGGCCCAGGAGGCCTTGCTGCTTCCAGTCCCCACCTGCCTCACTGATGGCCCTATGATTCTCCCTCCTTAGCACTCATTTTCTTTGAGATTTTTGAAAATTTGTTTCTTTGCTTTTGCTTCTGTTTTTGCTTTGCATGGTGCTATTGAGAAACCTGATGCCAATCTCTCTCTCTCTCTCTCTTTTTTTTAAGTGACTTGGTCTTTTTGCCTGAATTCCCAGAATGTTTATCTCTAAAGTCTAATAGTTCAACTAGGATATGCCTCAGAGTTTACTCTTCTTGGGCCAGTTTTCCCAGGTACCCTTCCAATATGTAGATTCAGGTCTCCTTTTATTTAAGAGTTATCTTGAATTACATATTTAAAATATTAGTTCTATTTCACTGTTGGCATTCTTCTTCCTCAGAGACACCAATTGTACATATGTTGGATCTTTTCTATTCAACTTCTAAATTTTTCACGTTCCTTCTGACACTTTTTTACCTCTTTACTTATTTCAGTTTTAATTTCTTGACTTCTTTTCATGTCTATCAAATGTGCCTTCCACTGTAAGCCTGATCATATCTAATTGTCCCTTGGGCACTCTGCTCTTCATTTTTGAGAGGATTTGTGTTTTATTTCAATTTCTTCCATGAATTTAGTCATCTCCCATTTGATATCTTCACACTGTTCATCCGTTTCTATTCTGAATTTTTGAATTTATGATTCATTGTGCAGCTGCTTATTTAATTATAAATTTAATTCATGTTGATGTGTTGTATCACAGTTTTTCCATGTTTTTTTTTTTTCTGGAGTGTTTATAGCTACTGAAAACTTTTAATTCTAATTTTCTTTTTTATTCTTATATGGATAGTGCTTATTTTTTCTGTTCATGATTATTCACGCTGAGATTACCCCATGGAAGTGGGGTCAGGGATGTGGGTGTCTCCCTAGGTTTCCTCATTCAGGAGTGCTGTATCAGATCCACATCACCTTGAATTCCTTCAACTTCATCCCTCTTTCCAAAGGCTCCGTTTGTGTCCCATGCTGTATCACCACTGGGGACCAGCCAGTCACTTAGCAGGGAGTGCTGGACCCCCTCTTGGCTGCTGCCATTCATCCATACTGACCAACCAGGGTTTCCAGATCTTCCTTTCACCTACAGACTTGGATGAAATGCCACACCACAGGGAATGAGATCTGGCATCCTGAGTGGCCACTGAAAGGGCTGGGTGAACCACCTGGAAGTGAGGGTGAGTTAACTTCCCATAGGGTGAGTACTAACCAGTGGTTAAGAGGAGATAGGAAAGAACTGGGAAGATAAACTCCCTCCTTCTCCCTGACAGATGCCTCCAAGGCACATTCCATCCTTGCACCTGTTTGGAGAATGTTCCATATGTCAAGTGAATGCACCTGCGAAGTCACCTGCTACACCTCTTTGTGGCTCATCACAATGTGTTTCTAAGGGGACCTGGGAAAAGAATAGTGCACTTTGTTGCCTCTATCATGAGGTGCAGTTTCTGTAATGAACAGATCCTTGGGTATCTGTCTTCTTGATTCTTAATACAATCTTGCTTCCATAAGAATCTTCTGCAACTTTCTTTTTCCTTCACCATCAGGCACCTGAGGTGTACACTCACTTCCTGCTCACTGCCCTTTCAGAAGCAGTGCCTTCCCAAGACAGTTGTTCTAGTGCTCATACTCCGTTATCTCCCCAGTCTGCAATGGCCACCACCCCAAAGACATTTACATTCCCTTCTCATGGGGCAGTCCCCATCCTGCCCTCCTTCTGCCAGGGCTTGGGCATGGCTCTGCTGGTTCTGCTGCTGAGTTCTATACCCACACATAGCTGGAGTCTCTCCCCTGGTTATATCATAGGCATGGGCTCTGAGAGGCCTTCTTCCATGTGTTGTTTTTAGGAAGATCTGTGGAGATTTGAATTTAACTAGCTACCATCCTCTGGCTCACTCTCTTACTGAATTACTTTTTGGGGAGACAAAAAAATTTTTCTGTAAAGAAACAGCCAGAAACTCTTTCCGTCAAAGAAATTAGCATTAATTTTCCAAACCTAGGTTACTAATAGAGATCACCTGATAGAATCAATAAAAACAAAAAATGCCAAGATGCATAATACAGATGCAGTAATTATCCCTAGGCATACGACCCCACAACCACCAGTGTCCACAGTGCTGCAAACATGCCCTTTGTAAGCTTCTGGGAAAATAACAGATATTTGGCTAAGCTGTAGAGGTCTTAACTATACCTATCAGAAAGGCGAAAAATGGCATCAACTATCCTAATGTGATACAAATTAACACCTGTGGTCTAGGGTAAAATATTCAGAGACAACATCTATTGATTCAAAAACAGCCTAGGCAGAAGCCAAGATTTGCTCTGAAAAACTGTGTCAGATGACCCAAAAAGGGGACCCTGACAGACACAGGTGTCAAAGGTGGAAGTGAACGGTCTGAACACAAGGATCTGAAGAAAGCAGAAAAGAGCACTGTTTTATATAATATTGTAGGTCCTGTCATTTAAACAGCTATGAGCAAGTCAACTAGTAAAGTGGATAAGTAGACGTTTAACTACTTTATATATACCCTTAAAAGTTTAAGTATTCAGTTTTGTTTGTTTGTTTGTTTTTTTAGAGACGGGGGCTATTTTCTTGGGCAAATGGAGGTTACTGTTTATGCAGGTCACCCCCCCATGCAAGCACACAGGAGGATTTCCCTGTAACCATATTCTTATCAAAGTAGGACACCAGCCAGCTCTAGATCACATGATCTGTGGCCTCCCCTGGCTGGGGAAAGGGTGTTACATGCATTGGGCATGGCGGACCTTTCCTGGTTTCACAAAGAGATATTGCCTGAGCATCTGTCGAATGGCAGGGAGGTTTGGGGACCAGCACCAGGCGTACTGGGTCAGGACAGTGATGGGGGAGAGGGGGCCTTTGGTAAGGCTGGTGGACAAAGGCCTCAAGTCCCAGAGTGGCCTGCCTTGAACACACAGAAAATCACTATGGAGCCATGAAAGGTTTGAGGTAAGAGAGTGACAGGCACATGCCGGCCTGGCCTTCCTTCCCTGGCCCCTTCCAGGAGAGGAGGCTCCAGAAGCCTTACCTGAGCCCACTTTCTTGCCTGTGCCTGCTCTCCAGCCGCTCAAATTCCTCGGAGGCCAGCACCATCCCACTGTCCGTCTGGCTATCCTGTGCAGAGAAAACAAGCCAAGGCTGTGGGCCCCGAGGACCCGCCCCGCTGCCAACCTGACACTCATCCTGCGCGAAGTGTGTGGGAAACAGGCATCCGTTCCATCACCAGGGCCTGTAGGTTAGGGTCATATGCCCCCACCACAGAGGGAGAAACTGAGGTCTGGCGGGGCCATGCCTCACTACTCAGGAGGATGGCAAAACTGGAACACCCCACCGGAAGACATAAAAGGTGGCTATACACATACTCGAGGCACAGGCAGAGCAGGAGCACAGGGAGAAACAGGGAAAGTATCAAAAGGATCTGGCAGCTCATGGTATAGAAAAATGATCCTTAGACACATCCCAGGTTTAGGGGGCCTAGGTCACCTTTAGCCTGACTTGGCGTGGTTTTCATTTTGATTTCCGTGGAGGGGAAACTGCACTCTTGTCAAAGATGGGGGTCCCCCAGCGTTTTTATCTGGCCCTGGGAATGGGAGCCCGGGTCTGCATGGCTCTGGTCCAGGGCACCCACTGCTGCCTCTGCACCCAGCCTCCCCTGGGCCTGCGCTCACTCACCAACCCCATCTGGAGGGAGGCTGTGCCTTCAGCCTCACGGAGCTGTAAGAGGGCTACTCTGCTTGACCGCATCTGAGAACACAGGTGGTTTTCCATGCCCCTTACCCCAGCCTCCTCCTCTAGTGACACAATCTCCTCCTCTCTGGCCATGCGGCTTGATGACCACCAAAGGGGGGTCCTGACTCAAGGCTGATCCCAGGAGAACCATCTAGAAGGAGTCATCTTTCCGCTGGGTTCCTACTGGGGTTTCTACCTTGCTGGGAGAGAAAGGGGGTGCTAGGGAAGCGAGCCCTTCTGTGAGTGAGGAGGGCACAGGTGAAAGCAGCAGAGACATGGTGGCACTGCATGGGTGCCCAGACCCCACCATGCCTGAGGCACAACCTGGACTTGACATTTTCAAACTGGTTTCTGCTGCTGACCTCAGGACTTCCTGACATCTGACTCCCTGTGGAAAGAGCCCAGCGGACCTGACCTGGGGCGCCCAGGTGCACCCACCACACTTACCACTGAGGCCTTGTAGGTTGTCAGGGTCATGGGAAATTCTTCGAACGTTTTCATCCTGAAGGGACCCTGGGTCTGAGTCCCCCTGGCAAGGCATCCCGGAAAGGACACACAATTATAATATCTGTGGGGAGAAAACGTTAAGTGCTGAGAAACGCACTCCAGCACCCTTCCTGAAAGCTCTTTCCACCTTTCATTCTGCACCCCTCTCCAGTGGGGAGGGTGTGGAAGGTGAGTGGAGGGCACCCAGCTTATGTGTGACATGGAACTGGAGAGAGACTGGGGGAGGACTTCACCCCAGGATGGGCCACCCTGTACAAGGCAGGCAATCCCGGTGCTGCAAGCTACTGCCTGACCTGCACGTGCGTGTATGTGTGTGCACATTCGAGTGCCTGTTCGGGGGCTGGTGGAAGGAGCCTGGCAAGAGCCAGCTGGGTGTTCCTGTCCTCCAGGCCTGGCTTTGCTCTATGCTGGGGAAGATGGGGTGGGGAGTCTCAGAGCCCTTCTCCCAGCAACGTCAATGGGAATGTGGATACACGACTTTCTTGGACTATAGACATACACTGGCAAGAGACCTCTGACCCCAAACTCTGGGAACTTAGGCTGCATTTTAAATCCTAAATACAGGTGAGTGAGTGACCTGCACTGCTCCCAGTGCCCCTACCAGTGGCCCTTGGGACTCGCCCCTCTCCCCACCCACTCCGCTTTCTTTCCCTGCAGTGTGGAGCTGGCCAGGGCATTGTGCCTGAGATGGGCACTTCCTTGAAATTGGCAGGGGGAGGGCCTCTCAGGGGCTAGGAGTGCGGGCAAGCAGAGGATGGCAGAGGGAAGAACTGAGGAGGTGTGGAGAAAAGCAAAGTCACAAGGCTACATGGCCTCGGAGGGGCCCCGAGACTGACCAGGACCACCAGGGCGTCACCGACACTGGCACTGTCATTTAATGTCACTTTGTTGAGTTGGTATACAATGGCCTCTCAAGTCCTTGTAGTTCACCTTTCCTTGATGACTGATGAGGATAAAACATACTATGTCCCCTTTGCCTGGGGGACCCCTGGACCTGGAGAGGGTGGCTGACCTGGCAGACAGGCTGTGCCGGTGCAGGCTCGGTGGGCTGTCCTCCATGTCAGCATCAGTCTCCATGACATGCAGGGCTGTTGTGGACGCCTGCAAGAAGCTGCCCTCCTCTGAGCTCTGAGAGCCACAGGAAACCACGCAGTCCTCCTCTTCCTGGCAGGAATGGCACAAATGGCCAGGGTCAGAGGCCCCTGTGCCCCCTTAGCCCCACCCCTGCACTCAGGACTGCTGGAGTTCCTCACCCTTCAAGTGCTGTGCTCAAGGGCACCAAGGACTAAAGGAGCAGGCAAATTCTCTCCACAGTCCTCCCAGGTGCCCCATCTAAGGAGGAGGTAGGCACAACAAGAGCATCCTCACTCCAGAGCCCTGGCTGCTCCACAGCCTCAAGAACCAGCACTAGTGCTTCCCACCCTCTTCCTGGGCAGAAGTGGACCCCAAGTGCCTGTCTCCAGCCCCTGAGGCTGGGGTAGCAGGCAGCTCCCTGCTCCCTCTTCCAGATCCCAGGGCACTTGCTGAGGCCCTGAGCTGCCCTGAGCCAGCCCTGAGCCAGCCCTGAGCTGCCTTTGTTCCCCACCCCTGTGGGGGGAGATACAAGTCAAAGGCAGGTGAAGCGGGCAGAGGGACAGAGAGGGAGGTAGAGGAACACATCACTATTCTGCTGGGAGACAGGGTTCCTTGTAGGCTCCCTGAGGACCAGCCTGGGGCTCTCCATGGGCAAAGTTGGGCTCTGACCATCCATGTGATGGTCCCTGGGCTGGAGCCAGAGGTTGCTGTAGCAGGACAGGGAGAGTGGGGGCTCACCTGATGGCCCCTGCCCTGAAGCAGGTCCCCCAGGATCTCCACCAGATCTGAGAATGCGGGCCTCTCTTTGGGGTCTCCAGCCCAGCAGCTCAGCATGATGCGGCGTCTGCGGGTACAGCCAGATGCTGGATTGTGTTCTGAGTGCACCCCTCACCCTACCCCAGCAAACCCCAAGCCCCCTGCCTAACGATCCCTCACACCTGCTCTGCCTCCCTCCCTCCCCAGGGCTTAGGTAGAGCTGTCCCTCCTGCCTGCAGGGAAGAGAGCTGCCAGTGGACCAGTGGTGGCGTGAGAGACTGTATCTGCAGGCCTCCAGCCCACCCCCGTGACTGAACAACCTCCCACCTCCCACCCTTGCCTGCATGCCGCCCTTCCCGTGCCCGTACATAACCCCCCTTCCCCTTTCCCAATGCCCACCCACCCCTCTGGCTCCCCAGTGCCTCACAGCTTCCCAAGAGACTCACATGGCAGGAGTGGCCAGCTCTGGGGCCCTCATCCGGGTGCCTTCTTTCAGCCGTTGGCAGAACTCCTCATTGATCTGCACCCCAGGGTATGGGGAGGCCCCTGAGGGCAGGAACAGGATGGGTAGGTGGGTGGGGAGCAGTCTACTACTGTTCAGCCCAGACCCCAAATCGCCTCTGTCCTGGTCCTCCATGGCAGAGGGCTCGGCCTGCTGCTCCCCTCCCCCACTGCTATTTCTTCATCTGGTTAAAAGGACGGTGGCACCCACTTGCTAGAGCTGCCATGAGCATCACCGCTTATCACAGGCACATTAGTGAAAACATGTCCCATCCTGGGATCATCAGGGTCAGTAGAGCTTCGACGAGCCAGTTGAGCTGCCCTGTCATGATGACGCCTCTTAGGAGAAGCTTTCTCTAATTCTTCCTTAAGTCCTGTGTCTGTACCAGCAAACAGGACTTAACCCTGCCTAGCTCCCTCCTTGCCTCTCTTGACCAGGGGAAAAACAGCTCCTGCAAGCCGTACAGCAGTGGAACAACCCTTTTAAGACAAGAGTCAGACTGCTCTATCCCTCTCTCAAAACCCTGCATGGCTCCCAGTAGACTTAAATTCCAGGTCCTTATCCCAGCGGGCCTGCAGAGGCTGCACGAGCCACCTCTCCTAGCTCTCACTGCATCTCCCAATGCCACCTGCTTACACCCTGCCCACCTCCAACACGCGGGGACCATGGCCATGGCTAACCCCTCACCCTGGACTGCTATCCTCCCAGGCCCACCTGCTATCCTCCACCCACCTTCATCAGCCTGGGCCCTCCTGGCCCCTCTGGCTCACACACAGTGCTGTCCTTCCTGCGCTCTTCCATGCTCTTTTATTTTTAGTAACAGCATCAGTCACGGCTGCCATTCAGTGTTTTCACTTTCCCACTTGTATACTGCCTCACCCCTACCCTGGTCGGTGGGGGGGGGCTTCACCTTGGTCCCAGCAGGGCCCAGGTTCCCATGTGAGGTTCTTGCAGGTGTGGTCATTGAGTGAGCAGCCAGTCTCCTCCCAGCTGCTCTCAGCTCTGCAAAAGCAGGAGCAGCATCCCCAATGGCAGGTAAGGAAGGGGCTCAGCCAGGGAGGGAGAGATCTGGGGGAACTCGTATGGTGTTACCCTCAGTGACCTGTGGTGACCCCAGGGGCTGCTGAGTGAACACAGGGTTCTGCCCTGGCACAGGCTGGAGGTGAAGGGGAGAGGTAGGGGGATCTCCAACCACCTGCCTCAGAATGACCTGGGCTGCTCACTCCAGGTGTGCACCACTGGGCTGCTCAGCCCCCTGTGCAGAGGGGCTGGTGGAGTGACCTGGAACCTGTGATCCTGCCTGCCCCCTCTCCTGCACCCTGCCCTGCACTCACCCAGGGAGAAGATCTCCCAGAGCAGCACCCCAAAGGACCACACATCACTCTGTGTGGTGTACACCTTGTCGAAGATGCTCTCGGGGGCCATCCACTTCAGGGGCAGTCGGGCCTGTGGGAGGAACATGTGTCCCCAGCGGGGGAGGGAAGAGAGGGAAGAAGCCAAACCCTTGGGCAGCCCTCCTCCTGCCCCCAGTCTCCCCAGGACTCTGTGGAGTCACATCCCAAGAAAGTCTTTTTGGTTACATCCACCTTGTGTGTATTCGGATGTGGCTCTTGCAATTTGCCCTGTTCCCCCTCCCCCATCCTGCAGGTAAGATGCAGAAGCCTTCATTCCTCCCTTGAAGGCTTCTGCCTTGCTACTGTTCTCCTGGGTCCATCTGGGCCCCTCTCTTCCTCTGTGCTCTCCCAGGGAAAACTTGCAGCCCTCCTCCAGCTCCAGACCCTTTGGCCCAGCATCCTGAGGAACACCTGTATCCCTGCACATCCTCACCAGCTCCACCTTTCTCCACTCACTTGGTCCCCAAGCTGGAAGCATGGCATCATTCCTGACCGCTCCTCCTGTGTCTTCTGATGTGCTTTTCCTCCTATGGCTTCTACCTGGGAGCCCTGAGGGCCACGGCCCTTCCAGAATTGCCTCTGCCTCCACCCCAGCACCCCCACTCCCCTCTCCTCACAGCCTGCAGAGGGGGGCTTCTGGACCGCACATCTGACTCTTACCTCCACACCCCTGCCAGTTAGAATGAAAGACAAAAGCCTTCATGGTGGGCCTCTCATAGCCTGGACCCATTTTGCCTGTTGACCTCCCTTTAAGCCTCTTCCTTCCTCCGCTGGGGCAAAACCCTAATCAGCTCTGGATGCTCAGATGCCTGCCTCTGAGCACCACCAATGAGACACAAGTTGCACCCATGTACTTTGCTGTGACCCTGCTACACCAGGTCTGTCCACCTCCAAGACAGACACCATGTAGGGTCCACCTCTGCATACCCAGCCCCTAGTGGGCAGGCATGGGGAGTCAGTGCCCACCTAATGGACCAAGGTACAGGGCCAAACACAAGCTCCAGCTGGAGCGCTGTGGTCCCTGTTTGTCAGCTCCTGTCTCCACTCACCTGCTCCAGGTGCCTCAGCAAGGTCACCAGCATCCCCGTAGGTGCAGGCCCTCAGACCTTCCATGTGGATGGCAGTGAGTCCACCACCCTGCTCCATGGCCCCCAACCCCCATCCTTCCTCTGTGGTCTGTACTCACACTGCCTTTGCGCACGTAGTCAGGGTCTTTGTAGATGTCCCGGGCCAGGCCGAAGTCACAGATCTTCACCACGTCACTTTCTGACAGCAAGATGTTCCGAGCAGCCAGGTCTCTGTGGATGCACTAGGGGTGCAATGAGGTGCAATGCAGTGATCAGTGCAGGCCCCTGGGGCCACACCCACACCTAGAGCTCCAGGGTGCCCCACATGAGCCCTGCTCTTTGAGAACAGATTTCTGTGTGCCCCCAGGACTTGCCATGGAGAGAGCTTGTGGAACCGTGCAGACAGCAGAAGAGGCTATGCAGCGGGACAGACTGATTCTATATCTAGCTCTGCCTCTGACTAGCTGGAGATCTTGGGAAGTCAATTCCACCCTTTGGGCTCAGTTTATAACTCTGCGAAGTGGGAGAGATGCGCCTTGATCATAGCTGTGCTGTGGGGTGAGCTGGGACCAAGCTTGACATGCTGGTGAGTTTTGGCCTTTCTCCCCTCTGAAGAGCCTGCCGGGGCAGTCACCTTGCGAGAGGCCAGGAACTCCATCCCTCGGGCCACCTGGAAGCTGTAGCAGACAAGGTCTTCCATGGTCAGTGGGCTCAGCCACAGGTCCTCAGCTGCACAAAGAAGCGAGGCTGGCTCAGGAGCGTCTTCATCCATGACTCCCATCTTCCACCCAGCCCCAAAGGGAGCATTTGTTCACTGAACCTGGCTGCATCCCTCCTGGCCAGGCTTAACAAGCATGTTGGCCCCCTCTCCTGCACCTCAGCTTCCATTCTCTCTGTGACACCCACTAACCACTTCCAGAGCAGTGAATACTGTTGCCATACTAGACCTCTGTTCCTGCTACTTCTGCCTGGACTGCTCCCCACCATGTTTGCAGGGCAAACTCCTGTTCATCTCTAGATGTCCAAATCAAACATCAAAAGTCTCTGTGAAAACTGTTCCTGAGGTGTCCTTGCTTCCTAAGGCAGAGTGCATTACATGCTCTCCCACATAAGTCTCTCCAGGAGGGCCCCAGGCTGGCTTATCCCAGGGTCCCTGATCATGAGGTATAAGTGTGCCAGCCAACTCAGGCAAGGGGAAGCCAGACTCTTACCTTCTTGGACCGGAGGGGCTCGTCCTGCCCCACCCTTGCCCATCAGGAGCCTTGTGAGGAGGGCCCTGTCGCTGCTCCCTGGCCTCCTCCAGTCAGCCTTGGCACCCTCCACCATGGAGCAGAAGCGCCTTCGTTGCTCAAGGGACTTCTCCTGCGATGCACAAAGCAGGTCCGAGGGGGACGAGGCTGGCCATCTACTGCAAAAGCACTCCCCACGTCTTCTCCCCAGCCCATCTAAGAGCCTTGCCTGCTCACCAGCAGAGCTCTGGCCCCTGGTGGGGCGCCTACCTACCGCGTAGGGGTTGAAGGCCTCCCGCTTGGCGCGCAAGAAGTTGGAGAGGTTGCCGTACTTGCAAAACTCCACAATCACCATGAGGGGGCCTGGGGCAGGGCAGGAGCCAGGAGCTTGGTGACTGAGGGTACGCTGGAGGGCAAGCACCACAGCCACGGCCCTGCCCCAAAGCCCTCCTACACCCCTCCTCATCCCCGCCCATTCCCAGCCCAGCTGGCCCTTCGCACCTACAAAGACAGAGCACCCTGGGGGACTCACCCTCCCACCAAGGCACCCGAGCTCTTTACCGTTGGGCTTGGTGCAAGCCCCCAGGAGGTTGACCACATTGAGATGGTTACCGATGTGGATTAGGATTTTGAGCTCTGACATCAGGGCACGGTGCTCGCTGGCTGTGGCGCCCTCTGGAGGGAACATGGGGGTTTCGCGTGGTGCCCAGCCCACCACCCCGCCCCTGCACGACCCTCTTTCCGCGCCACTAGCTTAGCTGAGGCATGGCCAGTGCTCTTGCTGGTGTGGGCGCAGCACATCCCACCTGCCTCTCTGAGGCAAAGGGTTTAGGTGGAACTGGCATTACTCAGAGATGAGCCCCAGGCTCAGCTCTGATTCCCACGGATTCCCTGGAGAACCTAGGGTAAGAATCTGTTCTGAACCTCAGTTTCCCCTCCTGTACCACAGACCCACCAGCCCACCCAGAGCTGCTGATCCTCACCAGCTCAGCCACCCCTTCTAACAGCTGACCCCACACCTTTCAGCATTTTCACGGCCACAGTGTCACAGCTGCTGCCCTTGTTGATGCCAAAGGCCGAGGCTTCCACCACCTTCCCAAAGGCCCCATGGCCGAGGACTCTCCCTGTGGGGGCAGGGAGCCGGTTCCAGGTGAGCTGGATGGGGGTGAGGGTGGAGAGGATTGGGCAGAAGGGACAACCCCTGTGGAGGGCCAGGAAGGAAGGCCCAGGAGGCGGAGGAAAGTCGGGCTCCCTTCTGCCAAACAGGAAGTGCATGGGGAGTGGGAGTGGGAAGAGAGGGAGAGGAGAGGCAGACAGGAAGGCCTGCATCCTCTCCCAGCAGGTGTGATGGGCCCACCCTGCTTAGAGCAGCAGGAAGTGACCTCGGGGGCCTGGGAATTGAGAGCCCCAATCATTGTTCTGGGGATGCATGCCTAGATGGACAGGTTGGGCCAGGTGGGGGCTAGGTGGGACTTTCTGGCATGAGTTCTGAGAATGGAGGGATTTCAAGGCTCTAGCCTGCCCAGCCCCACAGCAGCTGAAGCTGTCTCTGCCCAGCAGTACAGGGTGGGTGAAGTAGGCTGGGTGCGGGGTCTCACCAAGGTGCAGCCGTTCCCTGGGGAACTCCCACTGACTGGCATCATAGGACAGGTATTCACACTGCTCCTCCAAAGGCACTTCCCCAGGGTCCATGATGATGGACAAGTAGCCGGTCTTGATGTCTGCATGGGTTGGCTGAGGGTGTGGATGGGGACAGCTCATTGACTTGGCCATACCACCCTGGCTTGGGTAAAACTTTGCCTGGGACAGATGGGAGCTCCTTAGGGACTTTCAATAGAGGAGGGGACAGCTGGACAGACAACCTCTGGTCCTGTAAGAGCCCAGCATGGAGGGGTCAGTGAGGCCTCCCAGGATACAAGGCTTCCACGTGGAACGATATTCCCTAACTTAAGGGCTAGCCAGAGTGGAGACCCCATGAGGAGCTGGGGACAGACTCAGCTGGGGGAGGAGTGCTCACCCTCCTCATGTTACAGAAGATGAGGAGGAGGAGGACCCAGAAGAAGACGGCGATGACCCCGGTGCCAATAAGGATCACGATCTCCATGTTGCCTTTATCCTCGGAGCCTGAGTGGGCAGAAAGAGGCTAGTGTGTGCGTGTTGTGAGGGGGGAGAGGGTGCACCCTGCGGGAAGTGCCCCTTCTGGTGGGCACAACTAGCAGTGAGGTGGCCACGAGAAGATGGCGCCAAGGGCAGGCGGAGGGTGGGTGGAGGGGCGTGAAGGGGAGGCCGGACCTTCCACGGCCACACTGGCAGAGGAGTTGACACAGCCCTTGGCGTTGCACACACTGCACAGATAGCGCCCGGCATCCTCCTCGCGTACGCGCTGGATGCTCAGCCTCTGGTTCGAGTCCACCAGGTCGATTCCTGCAGCGAGTTGGGGTGCAGGTTCGAGTTCAGGTAGGTCTGGGGCCTGGCCTCACCAGCTTCCGAACCCACCTGCTCCTTTACCCACGTCCATCCCCCTACCGGACTCTTCCTCCAGGGGCCTCTCATCTTTGTACCACACGATGCTGGGCATGTGTGCCCCGGCCACTGGGCACCTCATCTCCAAGGAATCGCTCACATTCACCAGGAGGTCGGTCAAGTTCTGCGTGAGCCGCGGGACTTCCAGGGCTGGGGGCGGGGTGGAGACGGAGCTAAGTGGAGCTTCAGAAAGCGGGAGGGCACTCCAGGAAGGGGCCCTCCAGGGCTGGGAACTCTCGAAGCTGAAGGGTCAGGATTTGAGTTCGGGGGGGTGGGCCAGGCTGCGCACCTCCACAGAAGGGCTGGGGAGGGTGATGCTCTTGCAGGCTCGGGCTCGGGAATGGACCGCCCAGGCGCTTGCTGGGCTGGGGGTGAAGGCTCCTTGGGAAGCGCCGCCCTGCCCTGCCCTCAGGCCCTGCCTGCCTCACCCTGCACTGACAGGTACTTCTTGTGGCAGTGCTTGTCGTGGCTGCGCCGGTCCTGCACCTCGCACACATAGTCGCCTTCGTGTTCCGGTGCCACGCTGGGGATGGTCAGGCTGAGCGTGGCGTGGCGAGCCTCGGGCACCGCCTCCTCCAGGCTGGCGGCCAGCGGCGTGGCGAATAGGTGCACGTTCTTGCAGTCGAGCAGCAGTGGGTTCCCGTGAGCGTCATGCAACGTGGACAGGTTGAGGCGGTACCAGCGCAAATGCTGATAAGTGTAGTTGTCGGCCCGGCAGCTCAGGCGCACGGCCTGTCCCTCTAGAGGATCTTCTGATGGCTCCGATTCTATGCTGAAGCCATCGGGGATGGCTGCGGAGGGAGGAGGAACCATTATGAATCTGTGTCACAGTGTTGGCTCACTTACCCCCCTGCCCAGGGGCTCTCTCCCCCTTTTTCATTGGCCTTTGGACTCACTCAGCTCTCAACTAAGGGAGTACATCCCATGTATCTGCGGCAGGGACACCACTCTGGTGCCCTTTTCTCCCTCTCACTTACAAGAGACCAGCTCTCTGAAGTCATTTCCACCAGGGTCTCCTCCAGCCTTGCCTCCCTCTAGCTTTTTCCTAGACAAGCCCCAACTGGCTGCTGCCCCTACCTCTCCCAGGGTCTCAGATCATCATTGAGTTCCTTGCTACCAGGCTCAGCAGGGGCCTAAGTCCCCATTCTCCCTCACTGCTGACCACACTCCCCACCACTGTCCTCTCCTTGAAACAATCTGGTTTCATTAGCTTTTGGCAATGCCTCCCAATTTCCTTTTGTCCCTCTGGCCATTCACTGTCAAGTTCCTACGGGCTCCTCTCCCCTCCAAAGTGTTCTCTTTGGATCCATCTTTCTTCCACATGCCCTCGTCTACACCTCTGGGCCCAGTGACTGTCCTTCCATGATCTTTTTAGCTTTTCTGAGGTCACTAACAAGTTTGAAAATCTGAGGAAACTATGGACCTTCCCCCCAGGGCAAAACGCACATAGGAACCAGCTGCCGTCAGGATCCAGGGCTTAGGAACGGGGTGGGAGGGAAGTGGAGTTAGGCAGAGCTGTGGGGAACAAGAGGGCACCCGTAGGGGAGGCACTCCAGGTCTGGGGGCAGATGGTGCCAATCCATCTCAGTGGATGACCACTCCAGTCCATATGCCTATGACCTCCAAATCTATCCCTCCTGCCCAGACCCCGGGGCCCAGTGGACCCTGGATATCTCTCCTGGGTGCCTCAAGGTCCCCAGAACTCAATGGGCCCCAATCTAGGCATATCATCTTCTCCCAGGCCTGTTCTCCTGTGCCCACCCGGCTCCTGACCTCCATCCAGGCCTGCCCAAGTCACTCACTGGTCACGTAGAAGTAGATGAGCCGCTCATCCTGGCCCACTTTGTTGAAGACCACGCACTTGTACATGGCAGACACATTGGCGTCCTGGATCACCAGCTTGCTCACCGTCTGGACAGGACATGTGTCAGGCATAAGGATCCATTTCCTGCATGAGTTCCCCTACCCCAGCCTCCTTTTCTGCATGGAGGTTGCTGTGCCCACCAGAGTAATGGGGAAAACTGAGGCTCTGAGCTGGAGATGACCAAAGCTCAGAGACAGTACCAGGAATGGTGAGGCAGGGAAAAGGTGGTGAGGCCCTCGGGCAGCAGCAAGAGGTGGCTCCCCAGAAAACCCAAGGAACAGCACTATGGACAGTTGGCCTCAACTGTGGCTGAGGTCAGAGGGCAGCATTAGGCAGGACCAGAGAGACCTCTGGCTGTGGATGGGCTCAGGCTGTGGCCATATCGAGGAGGGGACAGGGGCCTGGTAGCACTGGGATGGTCCAAGCCAGAGTTAGGATTCATGCTCTGGTCACATCAAGGGTCAGCCTGTGGTCAAAGGGGAGAAGCTGGTCACTGTGTGAGATCCTTGTGATGTGCCCATAAATGCCCCAGGGCTTTTGTGATGTGCCCACAAGTGCCCTGGGTAGTGGCAAGGGGAGGGGCTGGGTTCCAGGGCTCCAGAAAGACTCTGGCCTGGGGGAGTAGGAAGCTTGGAAGCAGAGGAGGAGAGAGGGCCATAGGCCCTGCCTACCATCCAAAGACCCCAACCCCCAACCCCAAGCCGGGCACTTCCTGGCCAGCCTGGAACAGGAAGAGGCTCTGGAGGTGTGTAGGAAAACAGGAAGTGACTGTAGGAAGTGGGTGCCTTTGTTCAGTCCTTCCCCTGCTTGGCCTTTTCTAGGCATTGCCCCTAGCCTGAGCCAGCAGCTCAGCAGCCTTTGGTAAGGATGGAGCTGGCCCCCAGCCCCAACCCTCCTAGCCCTGGGTGGCTTGGGCCCAGGGCCTTGAATCTCAGCTTCCCTGTCTGGGAAGCAGTTGGAGGTTTGGCCCCCACAGTCTACATGCAGGCAGGGAAACTGATGCCCAGAGACACTGCAGAAAGGTTACTGACTCTCAGCTACTATCACAAGAGTTCTGCAAGCCCGGTGGAAACCTACAAGGCCAGGAGAGGGCCCCACCCCGCCTCCTTTCTCTTCTCCCCCAGCCACTCAGTGGCCTGGTTGGCCCATACCTTATTTTTTCCCTCCACAAACTCAGTCCAGGTGTCCAGGCTCTCAATGGGGTTCACAGCATCCTGCATGGTCACCTCCCTCCAGTCCTGGCACTGTGGCATTTGGTCTCGCTGCTGCCGCCGCTGGCTGCTAAAGACAAGGAGGCGCAAGGGCAGGTCAGGGATACAGGCAGAGAGGGCCCACACTGGGGGTAGGGTCAAGCTTTTCTCCTACTCAGATTCATCTCACATCATGGCGGGTAAGGCTGGCCCTTGGGCTGAAGTAAGTTGGAGGTGCTTTGTTTCTGTAACACTGTTCAGGGCCTGGCGACCCATCCTGCATGAGCTGCCAGACACAGCCTTCCCCAGTAAGCCAGGACCTGCGCCTGCAGAGCACCACAAGCTCGTGGCTCTGCGGTCATCCTCTAGTCTGCTGTGCCTCCTGCTTCTACCTGCATGTGTCCCTTCCTGAAAAGTCCACCCAGATCTCCTAGGGCAGCAAAGTCACCAATCCTGTTACAGGAAGCCCTCTCCCTCCCTACCCCTTCTAGAGCTGCAGCCTCTCCCTGGGCTGGCTGTGCATTCCAGCACCTTTGGTCTCCTGCTGGGATGGGGGTCTGGGGGGAAGGGGTGGCCCAAGGGAGGCTCTTGTCTGCCCCTAATGGAGCAGAGTTGGCCCCAGGTTTCTGTAATCATGCAGAGCATAATGGTAGAGCGTAAGAGGGAAGCACATTTGGAGGTGCCAGGGACCTGCAGCCTCGTGGTCTAGAAGAATCCCTTACGAGCCTTGAATGTTGTGGGCTGGCCACCCTGACTGAACCTTCCTAACTGATCATGCCAGGGCCACAGCCCCTTTGTCGGTATAGCCACCCTGTCTCCCTTGGGTTCCCAGCTCCTGTCTCTCGCCAGCCTGTGACCCTGCACCCTGCCCATTAGGATCTCTTGCCAAAAGGCAAATGTGACTAGTTACTCTCCTGCTCAACACCAATCACTGGTTCTCTAGTGCCTTTCAGACCACTGACCACCTTGGCCCCTCCATTCCAGGTCCTTGTTTGTCCAAGTTTTCTCTGTTCTCCCAGACTGTCCTGTTGGCGCCCAGTCAGGTAGGGCAGTGTGGCCCAGCAGTTGGGCAAGATCTGCTGCTTATTTTGCCGTGACCTTAGGAAAGTCACATCCCTTCTCTGACCTCACTTTTCTCCTCTCTAAGGGGTCATGGTGAGCGCTGCACAGATGAGCTGATGAGCACTGGACATACTTAGTGTGCCTTGGGGCTTGGTACAAGTCTCACAAAACTAGCCTAGGTCTGCCTGTTTGGTGAGAGGTGTCCTCCCTGGTGCCCAGAGGTCCTCTCCAGACATGCAATTGTGTGTCAGGAGGGCTTTGCTTTCAAGGGAGGTGGGTAGGCTGGACAATCCCCAGTGCCCAGCCGGGCCTGACTGATATAAGCGAGCCTTGCTCAGGCGAGGTGAGGTCAGGGATGGGCTACAATCCCCGAATCGCGATAGGGTTCGGGTTTAGAGCAGGGGTCTGGGGAGGGCTGTGGACAGTAAGTGGGGGTTATGACTGAGGTTGGAGATTGGGCTGGGAAGTAAGGGGAGACAGGGTGGAGCCACACTTACAGGCTGCGCTGGGTGAAGGTCTTGCAGGGCGTCCACGACCGCCAGTGCCACTGGATGCTGAGAGGAGGGGGCACTCCATAGGCAGTACAGGTGAGGGCCTGGCGACTATGGCGGGAGTAGATGCTGGGGGAGGAGGCCTCCTTCTCGTGGATGTGGGGAGGCACTGGGGACACAGGCAGACAGCCAATCAGTCAGCCTCCCCCACCACACCTGCCTATCCACCATCTCCTCTCCTGTCCTGCCTACACATACCATTTACCACCAGCTCCAGGCTGATGTTGCGCCTCAGGCCGGCTGCAGAGTTCCACAGGGCGAGGGTGTAGATGCCCGCACTGGCTTCTGTCACCTCCTTGAGCACCAGAACGTGTGGACTATGGCGCCCTGACACTGCCTTTCTGTCCTTGTACCTGGACCAGGAAGGGAGTTCAGGGGGCTTTGCGGACCCCACCCCGGCCCTGTCCTGGCCCTCTTTCCATGAAGCACCCCAGCCCCTACAACTGGGATATACTGTCAGGAGGCAGGAGAGGCCAGGAGCAAGAGGCCCCTCCTGCACCAGACCAGACTGCTGGGAAGAGTAGTAGGGGTGTGGGCTGCGGCAGCTGACTCTGGACTGGGGAACAGATGGCCTAAAGGCTATGGGGATGGTCTCCGGGCTCAACCTACTGGGTCTCACAAAACCTATAGGCTCAGGGCCAACTGCAGTCCCCAGGGGGCCTTGTCTGTCTCTCATAGGCTTCACCAGAGTGTGCTGTGAAGGGGTGGAGGTGCAGTCCCCGAGGGGCACAGCTCCTTACCACATGGGGGTCCAGGAGCCCTGACCCTGGCTCTGCCCTTTTTGGAGCTCTCCAGATATGGGGCCTTCTTGTTGCCCTGCGCCCTCCCCAGGGCTATGCAACTCACTGTCCTGCCTTACTTGGATGCTAGACACCTGCAAGTCTCCCTCTCTCCTATATTCATATCATCCACTCCTCAGAGAAGCTGTGTGAACAGCCGGCCCTCGGGCCTGTGCCTGCTCATCTGCACGCTAGTGTTCACACATATGTCTTTTAACTGTCCATCTCCCCTACTGAGCTGTACAGGGACTGTCCCCTCACTGCCATATCCCCTACACGTAGAGCAGCGCCCAGCACACGTAGGTGCTCGACGCACATGTGAATGAATAAATAAACACATCCCAAAGGAGACTCTTCCCCAGTACTGGGCTGGGAGTGCTGCAGGCAGTGCTCCTGCAACCCAAGCTCTGGACTCTGCCTGGAAGCTGCCCTCCCTTAGGCAGGTGCCTTACTGGTTTACTAAGCCGAGAATCACTAGGAGAAGCACAGCCCTCGGGGCAGAGAGTAACAGTGAGGGGGATGCGGGGGTCTGACCCTCAGCTGCAACACCACGGCCCAGTCAGAAGAGACGTGACTTGCCAGGAGTTACATACACAACAGGGCAGAGCAGGACCAAGGCTGTGAGGCCTGCTGGGCTCTGGTGCAGAATCCTGGTTGCCACCTGCCGCATTTGTGATCCTAGGTGAACTGCTTCACTGCCCCAAGCCCCTGTGTCCTCATCTGAAAACCAGGGAAACCAAATGAACCTTCTTGCTGGTGTCGTCAGGCCTACCCAAGATATGGCCTTTAGGGTCAGCCCGATGCCAGACACACAGAGGCTGCTTTGGGAACCAGGAACAGCCTGTCTGTCTGTCCACTAGATCTCCATCCATTCACTTACTCATAATCATCACACGATTACCTGGAAGAGTTGGCCCCTGTGGAGCTATGGTCACCATTAGTGCCCTGGGGCAGGTGTCTCAGTGAACAGTGGGCCCAGCTGAGCACTTCTTGGAGGCAGGTATTGGCCAAGTGAGAAAAGAAAGGCCAGATGTGGTGGGAATGGTGAGAGGCAGTCAGCTGCCAGAGGATCAGGCCTGGGCCAGATCTCTGATGCAAAAGAACTGGCCACCCTCCTAGACAGGGTCAGTACTACTGGCCTTGGAGGGCAGGGTACTGGGCCCTAGGCATCTCCAGGAGACCGCACCTGTGAGGGAGGCTCCAGACTGCATCAGCGCCCTTCCGGCCCCTGTCTCAAGGGTCCTGGTCCTGCACCAGATGCCCTTGATGGACCCCAAAGCCTGTGGCCTCAGAGGTAGGGTCACAGAAGGCGCAGGCCCAGGGCATCTGGAGGTTCTCCCAGGAGAAGCCTGCTTCCAGCCTATGGCCAATGAAGTGGGATGCTGGCTGAGAATGTCTGGGCTTCTGCTTGCCCAGCTCCAGGCTTTCAGCAAATGTCATCCTGCCTGGTGGGAGGTGCTCCTGGCTGGGAAGGCAAGGCTCCTCTGGCCAACTGTGAAAGAATGGAGCAGACTCCTCCCAGGAGGCCCAGGGCTTGGGCAGGAATGCCCTTCCCCTTTCCTGGACTGTTTTCCTCATGTGTATGATAAGGGTCAGGCTAGAGTGTAACCTCCCAGGGTCAGGCCAAGTGGACTGCTCAGATGGCCGAAGGGTGCATGGTAGGGTGCTATGCCTTCCTGAGCTCTCTGGGAGCTCTCGGGGAGCGCCCGGTGAGGGTGAAGCCACCGTTGGCCTACCCTGCAAGGGAGACCATACTCTCAGGTCACACACCAGAACTGGGGATCTGGAGCCTGAAGGCCTTCCGGAAGTTCTAGCTCACTGCCACACAGATCAGGCCCAGCCCAGGGCCCAGCACCATAATAATTTGTGAAACCCTTGTGACATCTCCAAAATTCTGGTTAGAAGGATCCTGAGGGTGGCAACCTGTTTGGAGAGGGGCCTAGGAAACCTGAAGTCATCCCTCTATGACACCCTCCAGCGGGGGCCCTCAGAGAGGCTGAGTGGGTGCAGGAAACAGTTAGATAAAGCCCTATGCTGTGCCCACACACACCCACACATAACAGGAGACCGGGATT